TCCTGGCTGGTTTGTTAAGGCTTCCCTCTTAATTCCTGGATGATCCTAGTCAGTCAGGGAACACCTTGGGGGGGGGATGACGTCACGCCACCCGCTCATGCACCCAGTTTCCCACTGCTGATGCTTCTGGGCTCCCCGGTTATCTTAGTGCGCCGCAGTGCGGCTGGTCTGTCCCATGCAGCGAGCCGCATCGTACCCCACAGTTGTTGAGACGCCCCGTTTGGCTGTTCTAAAGGCAGGCAGTGAAACAGCTGCAGCGTGCCAGGACAAGAAGCATCAGCCGAGTTGCCTTGGCAATGCCCCAGACGCTGTTTGCAGGCTCTTTCAAGCCCACTGGAGGAGGCGGGGTGGGGGGGACAAAAACATGGCTGTCCTTTTGGCCTGGAAAAATTTGCAAAAAAGCGTCCCCGGGTTTTGCCTCGTCTCTCCTTACGCAGCTTCTGTTAACGGCCACTTCTAAATCTCTTTAATTAAACCAACAGGGCAAAAAGATTTGAAAGCAAAAAGATTCTGTTTGGGAGCCTGAATGAGGCACTATTCACCTTAGTCTGAATCTTCCCTTCCTAACGCTTCCTTACTTGCGACATCAGTAATGCATCTGTAGGCAGTTATATTTATCCGAGGTTGATTTTCTTTAATCATCGTTAATTGATATGTCTGAATAGCGAATCCAAGAAAAACTGGCTACCGGGGTGTGTAAAACCACCGTTGAAAGAGAACATGCAGTAACCACAGTTAAGTGTTACATCTCAGGAAATTAACTACAGTTATTCCATTTCCCTTCTCTGCTCTGTCTATTGTTTAATGGAAGGAGCAAGTTTTATAGCTGTCACTCTACAGACCTGAGCCAGACAGTGTTCTTGCTTTATGCACGGCGTTTTTAATTTTAATAAAAGTTAAGCAAGAACTACCTGCCTAAAATCATTTCATATGATGGGGGGCCATATACAAGCAGTAATAAAATAAACAAGCACGTAACCGCATCAATCATGAAGCATTATATCTGCGACCGGCCCCTTTTTATGCTTCTAGAAGGAAGCAAATCCACGAACATTTCCCAAATAAAATCGCCACTACTTTCTGCAGCACACAGTAGCTCACTACATATTGCCGTTTAAACAATTAAACCACCAGAAGTGCCCACTGTACACCGATCGCAAAACTGCACGATCTGCCTCAAATCCGGACGGCACGAAGAAGAACCGAACGTGGCAACGGTTTATACCAAACCAAAATGGTTTGTGAATGGATGCAAAACCGCTTGGGCCCTCTCTTCACGGTCTGGATCTTTCTTACCGTCTTTTGGGAAGATTATCAAGGATGGGACAAAGCAATGTCCAGTCCTTGATATGTCCTTTGGACGAGGATCCCTTGCTGGCTCTTTAAGTAACGTCTCTGAGTTGAATTTGATTCCTGCTGACCACGTGGACCCAGCCACCTAGTTTCCCTGCAATGATTTGCCATGGTCTTCCAGGATGGTTGTTCAACTCCACAGCCCTGGGATTTCCCTGTGGTCTCCCATCCAAATTCTAACCAGGTCCAACTTGCTTAGTTTTTTTTAAAAGTCAGCCAAGGCAGCTAGATGCTCTCCCTAACAGCGGCCAGCTTTTTTATAAAGGCCACTGACCGACAGAAGAAAGCTGGATTTTCCTGTGATATGCTCACGATATCAGCAGGCGCTCTGGTAACTAAACTGAATCTTAATAATGTCCAATTCAAGCCTAAACAGACTAAGATTAATGTAATTTATTCATAAATCAACACGTTACAAACAGAACCACTAATGTCTTATTCTTTATTATTGCAGTTTCCAGTTTGCTTTCAGAAGCTGATTCCTTACGCTAAGATTTGCTTGCGTATCACAAACCGACGTGAATTTGTGCTGCAAATTTGTGCAAAATCCGGAGCATTTCTCAGAAATCAATCTAGCTGTTCTACCTTCTCCGTCGGACTCCTTGTTGGCCAGCTAGCTTTATAAATGCTCACAACAGAGCAAACCATGTTTATAATTGGACAAGGATTTCTTATTATTCTAATCTGCCTGCCAAAAACGTACCCGGGTGCCATGCGCAAAATGAACGTTGGCTGCTAAGATAACAGACGCACCCCATTTTCTCTTCGGATTTATACTGGATACGCTTGGCATAATGGTGCCCATCCATTCTGCAAAGCGACGAATACAATCTAACCAGATTTGGCCTGATGAAGGTTAATTCCCCTTTCACACCCATCATGTAAGGCTGGGGGAGGAGCTCCCACTAAATTCTTTTTCTGACAGCAAGAAAACGTTCAGACAGACTTTTTCAACCTGAGAGCACGTTCTTCCATTTCACACTCCTTAAACACAAGGTAACATCTGACCCATTTCTATGCGTCCGTTGCAAGCTATGATGACACTGCACACGTCACAATGTCACTGCAGAAATTACATAGTTCTCATGATGGAGAAAACCCATTTTCAAAATTATTCTATCTCACTGCAGCTTAGTAGGAGACTAAAAACCCAGATTTTAAAGGTTAAGACTGCTGGGAATATACATGCACGTATGCGTGGGGATAATTATTTTCTGGGGCATACACTTTTGCAAATAATTAAAAAATGCCAAGTTGCTTCAAGAGATTCTACAGAGAAAAATACGGATAACAAAGAGCATTGTTTTAAGAATTCCCCTTGCTTTCAATCTTATAGATCATGTGGAGGATCTATTTTCACCTAACTGCGAAGATTTTGCTGGGCTCCTCAGTTCTGGAAAATGTTTTGGTTGCATCCACTGCCGTATTTTGTGTGTCCATGTGTGTTGGTGCGTCTACACTTTGGCAACGATTAAGAGGAACATTTAAAAAAAAATCTCCATCTCTTAATTTGGGGAGGGAGGGCAGCCCAAGCCATCTGCTACTTCATTTATTAAAAGTATTACTTTCCTAATAATTGCAGAAAGAAGATTTATATCCATCACCACTGAAACATACACACCATTTGTGTAACACGGTCAGTCTAGGCCTTATTTTCTTAGACTGTTTGATGCTCTTTGGGGGGGGGGGGTTAACGTACAGTGCCTTGCCCAGGAACCGAATTTCATGTACTGTACAAGAATTCTATGCATCCACATACCAGAGAGATATTCAACCATGTACAACTTGGGAACAGGACATGCAAGCCCCAAAAATTGTTCCAGGAGCTTTTAAAAAAAAGGGAAGCCTTTTCCAAACCCTAGTCCCGTTGATCAGCTATCACGAGGAGAAATGAGTGACTGGATCCAGACCCTCCTTTAAGGTAAACTGATGGAGGAGAGCTGAGCTTAAAAAAAAAAATCTGAATCACCCCTCTGTTGTCATATACCAGGTATCTGGCTACAGTGTTCAGCACAAATAGGAAAATCGATTTATTTCAGCTAGCAAGTAATACAGGGGACCTTCCTCTGTTGTAGGCCTCGTGTGCATGGGACCTCTTCACACAGAATTCTTTCTCCTCCATTGCTTGAGAGAACAACATCTGCAACACTGGCAGGTTTTCATCAAGGAAACAGGTTTTGTATTCAATCTATTTCCTTGCCAAACCATTGTAAAGGACAAAGCCATTTGCAAGGGAGTGCAGAGCCCTGAAACCCCCAGCTCTAAGCCTAAATCTCACAAAATTATACAAAGAATATAGATATATACATATACATACATGCACATCTGTATATGTGTGTGTGTGTGTGTGTGTGTGTGTGTACACACACAAATACATACATACATATACATACTATACCCTAATTCCTGGTTGTATTTTCTTATTTTAAACTTATGTAGGATTCATTTCCTAAAAAAATTATGCAGGCTTAATTTCTATACATTTCAACAGTTTTCTGCGAGCTGAGACTGCATGTTCCACAAGCACTGGAGGATGGTATAAAACTTCAAATTTTATATAAATAATCATGGTTTTCTTTTTGCGCATCTTTTACAAACGCATGGCATACACAGCATTTTATTTCTTGCCAAATCTAGCCTTACCAAAAATTAAAGTTTAATTTAAAGTTCTTTAAAACATTTCCTCCACCCCCCCACAAAATATTTACTACAACAAACAACGGGAACGGTACTGCCTCAAATATTGAATAATCTGCAATATGTTTTTAGACATTCAGATATGAGCAATGCCTCACATGTTGTACCATTTGACTACAATATGCTGGTATTACAAGTGCTGAAAAGTCATCGAGATTAAAGAATACCTAAACTTTTATTAGTACTGATATAGAGATGACACAGGCCTTCCGAAGCCATCCTGTTTCAGAAACCTCTATTACCTTTTATCCCAAAAGGATGTGTTATCTTGATGCCCAGATAATCATAATATGCTCCGTGATAAATATCCTTCTTATATAAGCTGTGGTTTCAATTTTAGATACTACCGAAAGAATACAGAGTTACTACAAACTAACATATCCAGGGTTTAAAGCGATCTGTGCACGAAGCAGACTTGACTAGATACCTTCTACTCATTTATAGTTTAACATTTTTGCATTTCTAAAATTAAATGTAGTAAATGTGGAAACAAATGCATCAACAATAAAAACCTGTCCTTGCTTCGCCAAACCAAAATGTTTGATGTGCCAACCTAAAGAAAAATTCTGTGTGCAGCAATTCAAAGCTGATTTTTTTTTTCAGCCTATATATTTATACATCAGTTATGCCTCGTTTGGCACATACGACAGACATCCACTTAGGCTTTTTTTTAAAAAGCTGAATTGCTTTTAGTAATTATCGCAACCTTCCCCTCCTTCCTCCCTAACAACGCGCCACACAGGCTGCTGTCCTTCTCAAGGAAAGGTGACCGTCGTGAAATGATATCCCCGAAGAACAGAACCGAATGCAACGACCCCTTCTATCGCCAGGTCTGCATTCGCACCGTGTTACGACAGCCACAGACTGAAAGCCCCGAGGTGCCAAAAGTTCTCGATCGCAGCGAGAGCGGCGTCAGAGCACGACCGGAGCGATTCAAAGCAGTCTCCTACCTGGGCAAGAGGTCCTTTGCTCAAGCCGTTTCTTCGACCGCTGCCCGGCGCGTTTACACCGCGAGAGAATCAGAGGAGGGTCGGTGGCCAAAACAAAAGCAGACAAAAAGAAGAGAGGAGAGGATTCGTGGCAATTTCAGGTACAGCGGGATTAGCCGCGGCGTCGCCGCTAACTCTCAGGAATGAAACCGTGTTATTGACCTTTGCGGCATTTTCGTAAGCGAAAGCTGGCTGGCTGGAAACGAGGTTGGCAGAGGGATGGACCCGACGCTAAGAATAAGAGCCGGCTCGGCCGCCTTTTCCTGTGGGGGGAAGCGAGGGAGGGTTAGGTGGCCGCGGGATCCCAAGGAAATCTATCGATCCCCTCCTCCGATTTGCCGAAACTTCCCTCTCAGACTTGGAGCGGGGTCTTCTGCTCCTCCGCTCTCCCGCGGGCATCGTCCTCAAGGAGAAACGCCGCCCAGCAAAACCAGAAGCCGACAGAAGCGTTTAGAGGAAGAAACCAAGCCTTACCCAGGAGGAAGAAAGACCCGGCCGCGGGGAGAGAAGCCGAGAGGGGCCGCCCGCTCGCCCGCCTCGCAGCGCTGCGGTCTCCTGCGAAAGCGAGGCGAGAGCCGCCGGGACCGCGCCGGCGTTTTGCGAGCGCACGCAGGCCTGGCGCGCGTGGGGAGGCAGTGCTGACCCAGCAGGGCTGGCGCAGCCTCTTCAGCCCCTGCCACCTCTTGCCCACCGCTGCCCACTCCCCCCCCCGGCTGCCAGCTCCCAGCCATAACAATAGGCGAGGCAGAGCGGGCTGGCATGAGAGGGAGCGCCAGAGGAGAAAGGGAAGGAGAGGGAAGCGTGTTAAGCTCGTCTGGCAGTTAACAAGTCTTGAATGAAGAATGTTAGCAAACAGACAAACAGCATGTCTGATGCATGCTAATGTCCTCCGAGTCACCAGTGACAGTTTGAATAATTCAAGAGGCGGGGGGGGGAGGAGGAGGAGGAGGAGGAGAGAGAGAGAGAGAGAGAAGAAAGAAAGAAAGAAATCTCCCCCCTCTTCTTGCAACGCCTGGAGAAACTTTTCCCTTCGCCCATTTTGCTTGACAAAATGGAATCACTGCCCTAGACTAACTCCGGGAGGGCTGAAAACCCCGGCTCCGCTCTGCCCGCTTCTTCCATGCCCCCCCCTTGCCCAGAAGCTGGCACCTGCCCTCCCCAGCCTTCCACTGCAACACCCCCAAGGGACGGGGACGGGGGGAGCCAGACAGCCCCGGGCGAAGCGAGGCGGCGGAGGGAGCGCGCGAGAAAGACGCCGCCGGGTTCGCCCCTGCCCGTGCCCCT